TAACTGGTTTTCAGTTTCTCTATCTGTAAAATAATCTTATTGAATGTAATAATCTTCTAAGATCACTTTCTCAGATCAAAATACCATCTACCTATGATCTCCTCACGACCCCAGCCCTTTCCTTTTTTTCTCTTATTAATTTATTTTGACTTAGCAACAATCACTTCCATAAGCTTTTGAGTTTTAATTTTTTCTCCCCCTCCCTCTCCCCCTCCCTCCCCAATTCAGCGTGCAATCTGATATAAACTCTACATATACATTCCTATTAAACATATTTTCACATTAGTGATGTTGTAAGAAAGAATTAGAACCAATAGGAGGAACCACCAGAAAGAGAAAACAAAATAAAACAGAAAAAAAAAAAAGCAAATAGTATGCTTCGATCTGCATTCAAACTATAGTTCTTTCTCTGGATGTGGATAGCATTTTCCATCATGAGACTTTTGGAGATGTCTTAGATCCTTGCATTGCTGAGAAGGGCTAAGGCTATCAATGTTAGTCATCACACAATGTGGCTGTTACTGTATACAATGTTCTCCTGGTTCTGCTCACTTTACTCAGCATCAGTCCATACAAGTCTTTCCAGGTTTTTCTGAAGTTTGTTTGCTCATCATTTCTTATAGCACAATAGTATTCCATTACATTCATATACCACAACTTGTTCAGCCATTCCCCAATTGATGGACATCCTCTCAATTTCCAATTCTTTGCCACTACAAAAAGAGCTGCTATAAATATTTTTGTACATGTGGGTCCTTTTTCCATTTTTATGATCTCTTTGGGATACAGCCCTAGAAGTGCTATTGCTGGGTTAAAGGGTAAGTATATTTTTATAGCCCTTTGGGCATAGTTCCAAATTGCTCTCCAAAATGGTTGGATCATTTCACAACTCCACCAACAATGCATTAGTGTTCCAATTTTCCCACATCTTCTTCAACATTCATCATTTTTCTGTTTTGTCATGTTGGCCATTCTGATAGGTGTGATGTGGTACCTCAGAGTTGTTTTGATTTGCATTTCTCTAATCAGTAGTGATTTAAAGCATTTTTTTCATATGACTATAGATCCCCAGCCCTTTTCTTTTCATGAGACAATTCATTTAAGTGACTTGCTCAGGGTCAGACAGCTACTGAGTGTCTAAAGCCGGATTTGAACTCAGGTCCTCCTAATTCCAAGGCTGGTACTCTATCCACTGTGCCACCTACCTGCCTCTGCCCACTCCCCCCCCCCCCCCCACCCCCCAAGCCGTTTTCTTGAAAACAAAACATTTGATCTCTTTTGCAGTTCCTCACATTTTTTCAATATATCCCTCTGCCCTTGCCCTCCCAGACAGCCATACTCTTTATAATCAGAAATAAAGGGGTAAAAAAAGAAGTTTGGCCAAACTAACACATCAATCAGGCCTGGCATTATGTGATGCTTTCTTTATGCACTCACAGACCCCCATCTCTGAAATAAGGATGGGAGGTGCAGTCTTCAGTACCTTGTTTTGGAGGCAGAATGGATAGAGCTGGACTTGGAGCCCAGAAGTCCTGGGTTCAAGTTCTCCCTCTGATACTTAAATGTGTGATGGTGGGCAAGTCACTGTTTCCCTCAGTTTCCTCCTTCCCTTGTAAAGGGAAGGGGTGTGAGCAGATAGCTTCCAGCTCTCATCCATAGGCTAGGGGCTCTTCTTTCCTATCCCTCTTCTAGGAGACCTGTCTTTCTTCCCAGAGCAACGGCTGAGTGGGAAATGGGGGAAGAGGGAGAGGTGGGGGTGGGGATCCACTGCTCCCTTTCCTTTAAAAACCTCTTCTACCTTTCACACACACAAAGGGTTTTTTAGGTGCCTTATCTCTACTTCTCCATTCCGTTGGAACCTAGTTTTTGCCAGTTCTGGGAAAAAGGATAGCTAAGAAATAAAATCTCCCAAACTCCCCAGAGGGGACAGAGGATAGGAGGTGAGATTTAGTTTGACTTAGGGCTTTTTAAGACAAAACATATTCAAGATTCCTCCTTTCGGTTTAAGAATCTGGCCCTCTCCAGGCTCCCCTAGTAGAAGAAGGAAGTATTTTTTTTTTCAGGTGGGGGGAGGAAAGAATGGTGGGGTGGGGGAAGGGTTGTATCCTGTATTAGAAATCTCATCCAGGAAAGCAGCCTCCTACTCCATTTGCACAGGTGAGATTCTCTCTGCAAGAGAGATGACTGTGATCTCCTTCTCCCACCACAACCGCTTTCCCCTCTTAGTTCTGTTCTCCCCCTACCCCATCATCAAAGGAGTCCCTCATCAGGAAGGCTTGCCTGCTGTACTTGAGACCCTGGAGCACAGAATCTAAAGTGTGGACATTCATATAAGCTTCAGATCCTGCTCCCCTGTCTCTCTCCCTCCCCGCCCCCTTCCTCCCCAATCTCACGGGCCGCAAGTTCCCCACCCCTGAGCTAGGGCACAGGACCTTCCTTGCAAACCTTAGGTGCTTAATATATGTGCATTGAATTAGATTTGGACAAATCATTTTCCCACTTGGAGACTGACTTTTCAGGGCTAATATTAGGAAAATCTTTGGTCAACTTTGGACGTGCTATTAAAATGCAGATTCTTAATTTTTAAAAAATCTGTAACGAGGCTGCAGTTTTCAGTTCTATAAGATTACTGAACAAAGTAAGGGAACCTGAGTGTGCGATGAGGATGGGGGGAGAGGGAGAGAAGTTTCCGTATATGAAGAGGTGTGTGGGAAAAGAGGATATTTTCCTTGTTCAATAGCTCTCTCTTTCCCTTGAACCTAAGGCAGTTTACAATCTCTGGACAGGTAATGTTTTCCTCCTAGGCAAAGGACAACAATTGATTACAGATTTGGAGTTGGAAAGGCACCCAGTCTAATTCCTTCATTTCATAAATGAGGATGCTGAATCAGTGAAGAGTGAATTGATTCGCCCATGATCACAGAGTCAATCAGTCAATAAACATTTATTAATCACCTACTATATGCCAGGCACTGTGCTAATCAAAGAGGCAAAAGAGAATCCCTGCCCTCAAGGAGCTTACAATCTAATGGAGGAGGTAACAAATAACCTACTATGTACCAGCAAGTTATATACAGGATAAACAGGACGTAATTACCAGAAGGAAGGCACTCCAATTAAGAGGGGTTAGGGAGGAAAGGCCTCTGTAGAAGATGGGATTTTATTGGTTTTTTTTTTTTTTGTTTGTTTGTCTTTCTGTTTTGGTGAGACAGTCAAGGTTAAGTGAATTGCCCAGGGTCACGCAGCTAGTAAGGGTCAAGTGTCTGAGGTCAGATTTGAACTCAGGTCCTCTTGACTCCAAAGCCAGAGCTCTATCCACCGAGCCACCTAGTTGCCCCTTTTTTTGTTTGTTTTGGTTTTTTAGAAGATGGGATTTTAGTTGGGATTTAAAGGAAGTCAGAGATGAAGGAGAGTGTTCCAGCATGGGCGACAGCCAGAGCAAAAGCCCCTAGTCGAGAGATGGAGCGAGTTGTTTGTGGAACAGCCAGGAGATAGCAGAAGGGGATGTGTACCCAGCGTGGATGACTCCAGATGCTCTCAGCTTGATCAGATGCTCCACCTTGCTTCTCCTAAATAATAACTCAACAGTAATAACTCCTTTGCACAGTGGGAGGGAAGTCTGCAGGTGTGGAACATTGCATATAAATGTCAGATTTGTTTCAATGTTGTCGTGAATTTTTTTTTGTCGTATTCTTTTAAAAAATGTCTTTGTTATAACATGATTGGGGGAAGGCAGGGTGACAGGTAAAGGGAGAGATCTAGGCTATGGAAAAAGAGCAGCTATCAATATTTAAGATGGTAATAAAGGTGTTCTTATTCCCATTTCAGAGAGGAGGAAACAAATCCAAGAGAGCTCTGATGCCCACAGAGCTCCGTTGACTGAGAGGAGACTCGAATTCAGGTCTGTTACTTCTTTTCATTAAGTCATCCGTACTATTAATGCTTATATAGGATCCTAGCCATTACCTGTGAGACACTGGGCAAGTCATTCAACCTCTGTCTGCCTAAATGTCCTCATTGGTAAAATGGGGGTATTCAGAGCTGTTAATAATAATAGGAGCTCTTATATAAACCTTTAAAGTTCGCTAGGTGCTTTAAAAATATTATTTTATTTGATTCTCACAACACCTAGAGGTAGGTGCTATTATAATTCCCATTTTACAGATGAGGAAACTGAGGCAGCTAGGGGGTGTAGTAGATAGAATACCAGGCCTGGAGTCAAGAAGACTCCAGTCAAGGAAGACCTGGGGTCAAACCTGTCCTCAGACGCTTCAGAGTTGTGAGACCCTGGGCAAGTCACTTCACTCAGTTTTCTCATCTGTAAAATGAGCTGGAGAAGGAAACGGCAAACCACTCCAGCATTTTTGCCCAGAAAACTTGAATGGGGTCACAGTCAGATACAGTGGAAAATAACAAAGCTGAGGCAGAAATTAAATGACCTGCCCAAAATTACATAGCTAGTAAGTGTCTGGGGTCACATTTGAACTTCCTGATTGTAGGCCTAGAGCTCTAGCTACTGCACTACCTTGCTTCCTTGATTGCTAGGAAAATAAAAGGAGATAATATTGGTAAAGCATTTTGAGAATCTTAAAGCACTATAGAAATAGCTTTTATTATTAATATTATTTATTTTATACATGTCTCCCTGGATAGAATGTAAAGCAATGCTTCATTTTTGTCTCGATATTTCTTAACAAATTAACAAATCCTAGCTGGCTGGAGTGAAATTAGAACTCAGACCCCCAGTGTCCAAATCCACAGGCCTCCTAAAGAGGAAGAACAAGGTTCTAGGGAAGAGGCTAGGAGAGAGGAAGTGTCTTTACACACTGCGCATGTCCAACTAGAGGGAGGGAGTCGAGGTGAACGGGGCTGGAGGGAAGGAAGAGGAAGAGAGACGGGGCTCCTCTTGCAGCTGCGCAGCAGCTTCTCCAGCCCCTCGGCCCCTCCTCCACTTCCGCCTGCCCTCCCCAGCCAGCCACTGCGCCGGGTGGCGTGCGCGCTGACGTCAGAGGCGTGCCCCTGCCCAGGAGCGGAGGAGACCCCGCGCAGTGCTGCCAACGCCCCGGCGGAGAAGCTGAGGTGAGTGCAGGGGGCCCGGGGGCTTCTTTCGGGGATAAATCACTTCTTTCCCCCTGACGCGACTCCCATCGCCTTCCACCCCGCGTTCGGTCCCCGGTGCCCGCCGCGAGGGCGCGAGGGCGCTGGTACGGCACTGGGCGCTTCGGTGGTGAGGGCAAGTCCATCCGGGGCGGACGAGCGGAGCCGGGGCACCGAGGGGTCTTCTGCCCGGGCCGGGCTGTCACTGGCCGCGGAGAAAGCAGGAGAGGGAGGAGAGCAGGGAAGGAGGGGCTCTCCCGTTAGAGCACCCCGGGCCGGCCTGCCGCCTGCCTGCCCTCCCTGCGGCCGGGCTGCCACTTCCTGCTTCGCCGCCCGCCGCGGACATTTTGCTGCGCTGGGGGAGGGGAGCGGAACCGCCGCCGCTGCTGCCGCCGCCGCCCCGGGGAAGCGGGGTCTGTCCGGGCTCCGGGCCGGGGCCGGGGCGGCGACGCCCTTCCTGCCCCCCCCCCCCCACCTTGGGCAGCCCTTGGCTCCCTCCGCCCTACACGGCCGCGAGCCCCCCTTCTTCCAGCCCCCCCCGTTTACCTTGATCTGCCCATCCCCAGCCCAGCCCTCCCGAGGGCGAGCTGAAGCCCCCCAGGTGCGGCGGCTCAGCCCCCAGCCCCCTCTTCGTTTTGCAAAGCTCACCTGATCTCTTACTGTGGGCACACATTGTCTTTGTTCCTTTTATTATTTTATTATTTTTTTTAAAGACCTCTAGAAATGCAATGTGAAGGATTACGTCATTGCCAAGTGAAGGGGTGAGAGTTTTAACTCCTTCACTGGGGTATTGCTGAAACTCCCACTCTGTTATTTTTCTGCTTTGCTAGTTCTGGGTGACTTACTACCCTTGCCTCCAAAGCATCGCATTTCAATCAAGCCGAATAAACCTGGAATCTAGGGGGTTTAATCTATTGTTCCAGAGACGAGTTACCTTTAAATTTTTTTTTTTACTTGAATTCAGTGTTGCTGCCTCAGTTATCTCTCAACTTCTAGCCTAGCTCAGGTATATTGTAAGACTAGGTTGGACCGGATGAGGGTAAGTCATCCTTCTCTTGCGGGGCTGTTTGCTTAGCCCTAAGTAACTTTTACAGGTGCCCTGGATTCTTGAGTGAACTTGACATAGTGAAGGTTGTTTTTTTTTCGGAGACAACCTCCTCCCTCCCTGGAGCGGCCTGTTAAATCACATTTATTTGATCATCAGGTTAAAGGGTTTTTTTTTTCTTTTGCTGCGATCTGGGTGGTGAAATGTGAAACAGCTCATTTCACGCGTACTTTGTTTACTTCTTAGGTACTTGTGTTTAGTAGTTAAAAATTATGTTTTAGATTTTTGAAAATAATGAACTCTAGAAAGAAGTTAGGAGTAATTTTTTAGCTGGTCAGTTTTAATACTTAAGTCAGATATGAACTAATTATCTTTTGACTACAAAATGCAGTAATAGAGAAGTGTATGTACTTTGAAAACTTGACACTTGTGTGATGCATTAAGTATGGTCAGCTCATGTTTGAACATGTAGTTTGAACTGGTTTTTCCTTTGTATATGGAGAATAGCTTAAAGACTGAAGTCCCACAGGTTTTGGTTTTGATATGAAGGAGCATACTTAGATTTTTGTGGTGTGCTGCTGCTGAGTATCCTTTAGCTGAGATTTTTCACATAGTCATGATATTTTGAGGAAGTCAGGATATATAGCTTGAATTTTTCTGGAAGACCTTTGCTTGAAAAAGAGTACCTTGTTTTAGAAATGTTAGAATAAGACTCCAACCTATTTATAAGCAGCTTTAATGCAGTATGTCTGTTTAATAATTGCAAATTTCACTTTGACCGTACAGTTGACTGTAAGCAGTGACTGTGGGTTGCAAAGTAATTAAAAAAATTTTTTTCTACAGGCCCCAAAAAATAAGCATTGTTGTTGAGGCTTGGTGTAGTGAATAGAGTATTTGGGCTTTGAAGCCTGAAAGATCTGGGTTCAGATTGTTCCTAGACATTTAATAGCTATCACCCTGGGCAAGTTAATAATTTCTCTATACCTCACTTTCTTCTTTAGTAAAATGAGGGGTTTGGTTTTGACGGCCTCTAAGATCTCTTCCACCTCTAAATTGATGATCCTATGATTATTTTTGAAGTAATTACTACTTTGAAACACTTGTAAATGCTACAGCTTTTCCACTGATTATGCCCCCTGCTGTGCTGAATTAACTCCTTTAGGTTAACTGATCAGGAGGTTCTTCCTGGAAGTTGGGAGGGGCATCCACTTTTAGAAGTAAGGAAGGCAACCTGGGACGATTTAGGCATAGCCAACATCAGGTATGGGGTGAACCTCAGTGCTTGGAAAATCTTAATCTTGGTTTTAGTAGCTTTTTCCTTAGTTGGAATGTTCTCCATCCCTTCCAGGTTATTGTTGAAGCTTTACTGGTTTTTTTTTTTAACATGATTGAAGAAATGAAAGAAATAAAATGTTTTGCATTTATTTTTCCCATCCTGAGAATGTTAAGGAAAGGTCTTAGAAATTTATGATAAGCTATGTTGTTGTCTTTGTACAAACAGAATCCTTTGAATACATCTTTCCTTAATGCTGTTTCTTTTTTGCCTGGCTTTCTCTTTTCCTCAAGAAAGGAAAATGTATTCAGTTCCTATAACTAAGAGTGTAACTTTTCTAACATTGTTAGAATTGCTAAGTATGCCCAGCTGTTTCTCAGATGTGGAGTTTAACCCCAAACCCCACCCCTCCAGTTTGACACTTTTATCTAAGCTTCCTTAGGCTTGATACCTTTTAAAAATCATCTGCATTCTGTTCCTTTCAAATGAAGTGTTGCTTCATTCTGGTTTATCTTGTATAATAAAAAGAACACTGATCTGGAGTCAGGGTCCCTAGGTTGTTTTTGAGACTTGCCCCTTAAGGTTTGTCAACTTTGAGGGAGTCATTTAACCTCTCTTGAACTTTTCTGTGTAAAACTAATTCCTGCATGGACTTTATAGTACTGTAGATCTAGTGAAGAGTGTATTTACGTCACTTTACTGTTGTAACTGCTTATGAATTCAGTACAGTCCTGTTAACACTGTAAACATCTTGCCAAAAGGGTAGATAGGTCTTTTATTTTGGATTTTCTGTACTTTTTCCTTAATCTTTTAGGTTTCTTAAGTAACTGTTATTTGATTTTGATTTTTATATGGTTCTTCCTAATCTACTCTTCACCATTGTCTCCTGCTTCCTGTTACTATCCATTGATTTTACCGCAACCTTGAAAATATAGAAACCTATTCCCTTGTTCTTTGAGGCATAAATTATCTTCACTGCCTCATCTTCTTGGTCATTTTAAAATTAATAGTTTTTCAGTTCTGGACATAATATTTGAGTCAAGGGTCCCCCTCCTCCCCTTTAAAACCAGAATCCAGTTTCTGCTTAGACTCTACTTTTCCTTGCTCACCTAAAATACTCCAGCTAAAATCTTTATTGCATCTTAGATGCCAGAATCCTCTGGTAGGTTATATTGCTTTATTTTCTCTTCCCTTTTTCACCTGTCTTGCTTCTAGAAGGGAATCTCTAAAAATAGGAGGATTGTGATGAGCTTTTCCAAGACGAGAAGTAAGTCAGCGTTCTCTATGGCTTCCAGACTTGACAATATAGATAAGGTAACTATTAATGTTTTAGGAATTCTCAGTGAGGTTACTGAGAAATATAATTGATGTGGCAAAAATGAGATAAGTGACAATGCCAATCACCTCTATTTTACCAACATTTTTGTTAGATTTGAGTTCTGTTGCAACAAAGTTTGTTAGTAGAAAGGAAATCTAAAACTTTGAAAATGAGATTTCTTTAAAAAAAAATGTAAATTCTTATTAGGGATGACTGGAGAATTTTTAGGAGTATGGTTTATAAAGAATTCAGTTGCTTCAGCGAGTGCTATGAGTTCCAGTGTCTCAAGTAGTTTCTGACACCATTGGCTATATTTTTAGGTATTACATGTTCAACCTAAGTCTGTCTTGGTTAGCCTACTAAATGCTAGGCTTGATGTAAATGTTTTTGAGCAATTATTCTGGGTTATTTTACTTTTGGTCTCTTAAGTTATTTATTTTGCTCTGTTATATAGCTATAGGGAATGATTCATTAGCATTTAAAGATAATTTGGTAACACTGACAGATAATCTGTGTTTGTAGGGGTAGTACAAAGGGAAAAGGTTGTGCAAGAGGAGGGTTCTATTAGTTAAGGCCATTCTCTAGGTTTAGGAATCTTTTTTTTAGCCTCAATGGTAAGAGCAATTTCTGTGGAAGGAAAAGGTGATTTCACCTTGCTTTTGCTTCTGCCTCCTAATGGTTACTAAAGCTTGTGTACTATGTCCTAGCTGAAGAGAGGTTTGTGGCTACCCTAATTTGGAATTACTTGGGAGGAGTTAAAGAGATTTAGGGGCCGAGTGGGAAGCAGTGCAGAAGAAATAGACCTGACCTGGTAGTTGCAGGTGAAGAAATCTGCCCGTTCCCAATAATCTTCCATCATCTTTCTTGACTCAAATGAAATAACCAGAAAAGGATTGGCTTCTCATCTACAGTGTCTTTGAGTCAGGGTGCCTACTTTTAAGGTGTCCTGGATTTTAGCTTTTCTGGAACATTAACAGTAATGACTTCAGTCTTTTCAACCTCTTGAAAGGAATTCTGTAGTAGTGTGGTGCAATGGGAAGAGTGCTGGAGTTGGAGGCAGAGGACCTGGTTTAACTCTTGGCTCTGCCACTATTTGTGTGACGTTGGGCAAGTCACAGTACTTCCTGTAGTCCCCGGTTTCCTTGTCTGTCAAATAAGAGTAGAAGAGAAGTTGGACTAGGTGTAACTTCCATAATTAAACCTATGATTAGCCAACATCCTTTGAATACTTGAGGACAACTTTCCTGGCTTCCTCAAGTCTTCTCCAGTTCCTTCATTTGATGCTTGAATGGCATGAGCTGAAGGTACTTTGTCATCCCAGTTGCCTTCTAGTTTATACTTTTTCT